GTGGGCTTCCGACCCTCACTGACCTCGGACGGGGCGGAAGCGGACCTCAGTGCCTCGGCGCTGCAGGACATCTACCTGTCCGGACTGCGCTCCTGGAAAAGGCATCTCTCCCGGTTCTGGGTGAGGACGGCTGCGGCTCGGTTTCCTTCCGGGGATCCCGTTACCTGTTTCCGGGCTGCCCGAGGCCCACCTCTGGCACCCAGGCGGCCCCCCTTCTGGGAAAGCTGTCCGCTCCCGGGACTTCTGGAAGCTCCTTTCTGGTCTGTGGCTCCCTTCAGGGGTCCTCAGCCTCACCCACTGGGAACCCCTGTTTGCCGCTTGCACCCACTTCCGGGACCCCGCTTTCCCCACGCCTCCAGACACAACTTGCACCCCAATTTCTAGAGCTCAGTGCCCTTCCCATGGTTCACTTCTCATCTTCCCCTTTCATCTGCAGGCTTTAAAGTGGGTGCTCCCAATAGAGCATGGGCCTGCGGCCTGAGGGGTCCCAGGTTCGATTCCCGCCAAGGGCATGTACCTGGGTTGCGGTCACATCTCTAATAGGGGGTGTGCACGAGGCAGCTGATTGATGTTTCTCTCTCATCGGTGTTTCTAACTCTCTGTCCCTCTCCTTTCCTCTCTGTGAAAAATCAATAAAATATATTTTAAAAAAATAAATAATAAAGTGGGTGCTCCCGCCCGGCAGGGGGGCTCAGTGGTTGAGTGTAACCTGGGTTACAGTTTACTCCCCACCCCTGGTCTGGGGCATGCTGGAGGCAACTAGTTGATGTGTCCCTCTCACATAGATGTTTCTCTCTCTCTCTCTCTCTCTGAAAAGCAATGAAAAAAATACCCTCAGGTGAGGAGTAACAAAAAAAGAAACAAAAATAACCACATGTGCCTGTAACGTTTCCTGCCAAGCCAGAGGAAGACAGACCGTCAAGTACATAAATCCCCCAGGAGAAGTAGAGCAGCAGTAGAAAGGCTCACTGTGGTGACGTTTCTTGCGCACCTGCCGAGTGCCTGGCTCTGAGCTGAGCCGTGCAGGCCCTTCCCCAGGCCCCTTCCCTGTTTTATTTTTCTCCCTAGCACCTGGCGCTGTCCGACACACTGCACTGAGGCCTTCCCTTACACAGGCATTATCTCTGTCCCCCGTGGCCGCAGGAATCTTGCTATCTGGTCACTGCTGTGGGCCCCGGTTAGCATTTGTGGAATGACAGTGTCTCATCCGGCCCTTGTGACAGCTCAGTGAGGCACGTTCCAAGATCGCTCCCATTCCACAGGTGAGGACACAGAGAGGCACGTGCTTGCCATCACTCAGCCAGTTAGTGACAGAGCGGAGGGTGGGACTCCAGAGCCCAGGTTCTAAAGCCTGATTTCTGAGGCCCTCCTAATCATTAGTGTGGGAAGAAGAGAGAAAGAGGTCGCTTGAGCCGGGATGGTGATGCCCCAGCTAATGGTCGGTGGTAGCTTTTATCCTGTCTTTTTTTTTTTTTTTAAATATATTTTATTGATTTTTTACAGAGAGGAAGGGAGAGAGATAGAGAGTTAGAAACATCGATGAGAGAGAAACATCGATCAGCTGCCTCCTGCACATCTCCCACTGGGGATGTGCCCACAACCCAGGTACATGCCCTTGACCGGAATCGAACCTGGGACCCTTCAGTCCACAGGCCGACGCTCTATCCACTGAGCCAAACCAGTTTTGGCTATCCTGTCTTAACTTTGCTCTCTGTGTGATCTTGAAGCCGTGTTGTTTAGTTGTTTTTATATTTTTAAAATATATTTTATTGACTTTTTACAGAGAGGACGGGAGAGGGATAGAGAGTTAGAAACATCCTGAGAGAGAAACATCGATCAGCTGCCTCCTGCACAACCCCCTACTGGGGATGCGCCCGCAACCAAGGTACATGCCCCTGACCGGGATCGAACCTGGGACCCTTCAGTCCTCAGGCCGACGCTCTATCCACTGAACCAAACCGGTTAGGGCTGTTTTGTTGTTTTACCGTCCCATCCAAGGATATTTTTCCATTGGTTTTTAGAAAGTGGAAGAGGGAAAGACAGAGAGAAATATTGATGTGATAGAAACACATCGATTGGTTGCCTCCCTTAACAAGCCCCGGACCAGGGCCCGGGCCAGGGAGGAGCCTGCCCTTGACTGGATTTGAACCCTGGACCCTTCAGTCCATAGGCTGATGCTCTATCCACTGAGCCAAACCCACCAGCGCTTGTTTTTAATGTAAAATGAGATAATCTTAGCACCTACTTCTCGGGGTTGTGGGAGGATTTAAAGAGTTAAGCCTTGTAAAGGGCACCTGGCATGTAGTAAGCGCTCATTACATGTTAATTATCTTGTTCACCCTTCTCTAGGAATCTGATTAGTAACCCAGCACTTTCATCCATTCCTCATTCATTCCACGGCCAGGTAGCTCCAGAAGGCCTCCTGAGCTCCAGATGCTCCCCTGTCTGGGGGATCACTTTGTCTTCCAGGTCCGTCCTGAGAGTAACCTCCTCCAGGAAGCCCTCCCTGACTCCCTCAGGATGAGCAACCTGCCACCACAGGGCTCCTGTGCATTGTCTCCTACCATTAGCACTCGCTTCATTCTTGACTGACCTCCCTGAGGATAGAATCTAGATCAGTCTGCTGCCCACAGGGTCTTGAGCACCCAGCTCAGAACCCAGCACACGCTGGATGCTCAATCAATATCTAAGGATTGTGCTTAGAGGATGCGATCGAATGGATGCTCTTTCTTCCCCACAGAATGACTTTCTCACTGGTGTGTTCCCTGCCAGCCCCCTCAGCTGGCTCTTCCTCTTCAGTGCAATCCAGCTCGCCTGGTTCCTCCAGCTGGATCCTTCCCTGGGACTGACGGAGAAGATTAAAGAGTTGCTGCCGGATTGGTGAGTTCCCACTTCAGCCCAGTAACCTCCCTGGTTCCTTTCCCTCCCCCTGGTAAGTTTCTCTATCGGTGTGCTGTGCCTGCTAAAGAAAAGGGACAGATTACTAAAGGTACCACATCAATAAAAAAGGAGGTGCTTTTCTCTCTTCTTTCCATCCTGGCTGCTTCTTGTGAAGAGGGATGGTGACAAACTAGATAGGTCTCAGATATGGTGATGTGTACTGATGCAAGTGTGAACTCTGCTAGTCTCTGATTGTGCACTTTCAGGTAAGAGACTTCACCAGTTTAGGTGTCAGGGTTTTCATTTATTAAATGGGGGTAATAATAATCGCTTCTTAGGTTGGTTGGAAGAATTCAAGTCACGCATGTGGAATATTCAGTACAGTGCCAGGAGGTTGTGGGACTGGTTGTCATATTACAGTCGTTGCTGTCGGCTTTGGGAAAGATTTGGCAACCAGATCATGGTGACGCGGCAGGGTCTAACTCTTGCATAAGTGCCCCTAGGGAAGAAGGCAGATTTGGGGTAGACAGCCCAAAGGCCTGCTCTTGCATTGGAGATAGAAATTTCCAGGAAGACTGGATTTGCCCTGTGCACAGGGGGGAGCGACTCCCCCAGCTCCTCCAGGTGGGATTTGCTCCCATGTCTGTTAGCAACGTTGCAAACTGTAGGCCAGTTTACTGTAGGCCAGTTTCCTAAACTTAAGTTTAATTTGGAACCACCTGGAAGGCTTGTTCAAACACCAATTGCTGCCCAGCCGGTGTGGCTCAGTGGTTGGGCATTGACCCATGAACCAAGAGGTCCCCGGTTTGATTCCCGATCAGGGCATGTGCCTGGGTGGCGGGCTCCATCTCCAGTGGGGGTGAATGCAGGAGGCAGCCAATCAATATCTCTCATCTATGTTCCTATCTCTCCCTCGCCCTTCTTCTCTCTCTAAAATCAATAAAAACATTTTAAATTTATTTTTATTGATTTCAGAGAGGAAGGGAGAGGGAGAGAGAGATAGAAACATCAATGATGAGAGAGAATCATTGATCGGCTGCCTCCTGCACACCCCCGCTACTGGGGATCGAGCCCACAACCCAGGCATGTGCCCTTGGCCAGAATCAAACCTGGGACCCTTCAGTCCGCAGGCTGACACTATCCACAGAGCCAAACCAGCCAGGGCAATAAAAACATATTTTAAAAAGACAACACTGATTGCTGCCCTGGCCTGTGTGGCTCAATTGGTTGGGTGTTGTCTCATGCACTGAATGGTTGGTTGCTGGTTCGATTCCTGGTCAGGGCACATGCCCGGGTTGTAGGTTCCATCCCTGGTGGAGGACACTTGGGAGGCAACCAATCGATGTTTCTCTCTCTTCTCCCTCTCTCTTCCCCTCTCTCTAGACTCAATAAAAACATTTTAAAAAACCCCAACACTGATTGTTGGACCCCACCCCCACAGATTCTGTCTTACTAGGTCTGGGTGGGGCCCAGGAATCTGCATTCCCAGCAAGCTCCCAGGTGCAGCTGATGCTGCTGGTCCAAGGCCCACACTTTGAGAACCGCGCTGAGAGTATAATTGATATCTGGGAGGGAAAAGTGTCCTTTTAATAGAAATACCACTTATTAAGCACCTACCAGTTTCCATGAGACAGTGAGAGGTGATTTTAGAAGCTTGGGGTCCCCACAGTCCTGGGAGGAGGAGGGTGCTGAGAGAGGATCCTGCCTCCTTCACAAATGAGGAAACTGGACCCTCTAACTGACTCTAGTCCCACAAGATAAGCCTCCAGCAGCCGGAAGACCAGTGAGAGAATATTAGGGAGGGCAGGGGCCGAGTGAGGCTGGAGGGGAGGGGGGTTCTGAGGCCCGGAGGCCCAGCCCTTCCTCTCTCTCCGCCCAGGGGTGGACAGCACCACAGGCTTCGCGGGGTCCTGGCGGCCGCACTGTTTGCTTCGTGCCTCTGGGGAGCCCTGATCTTCACACTTCACGTGGCTCTCAGGCTGCTGCTGTCCTACCACGGCTGGCTCCTCGAACCCCACGGAGCCATGTCCTCACCCACCAAGACTTGGCTGGTATGTGAGGGGCCCTGTGGGGGCCTACTTCTCTGACCCCCTCCCTCTGGGTCTCTGTCCCCCTTTTGGGGGGTATCTGTCCCATCTGCTCTGTGGGTTGCCACACACACACCTCACCCAGGTCCCCAGCCCCAGTGAGGGGTTTGATGACCCCAATCCCCACTTCCCCAGGCCCTGGTCCGCATCTTCTCCGGCCGCCACCCAATGCTCTTCAGTTACCAGCGCTCCCTGCCGCGCCAGCCGGTGCCCTCCGTGCAGGACACCGTGCGCAAGGTGGGCCGGTCCCTGGGGATGGGAGGAGAGGCAGGCGGGGCGGGCTTGGGGGGGTGACCTGCCTACCTCTCCGCCTCTGCCCTCAGTACCTGGAGTCCGTCCGGCCTGTCCTTTCGGACGAGGATTTCGACTGGACGGCGGGCCTGGCTCAGGAATTCCTGAGGCTGCAGGCGTCGCTGCTGCAGTGGTACCTGCAGCTCAAGTCCTGGTGGGCGTCCAATTACGTGAGTCCCGTGTGGGGAAGGCAAAGGTCCGAGCGCATTCCCCTGACCCGGCAGGGTTACGCCCCGCCCCACGCCCCGCCCACAACCCCTAGGCCTGCGGCGATTGGAGGCCAGAGACACCGGGCATCCTGAGCCCCGCCCCTTACTCAATCTCAGCCCCGCCCCCACGCCCCAATGATGTAAACCCGCCCCAGATGCTCCAATATTCCGAGCTCCTCTGCGCTCTCCAGTACTCTGAACTCTCTGTCCCCTGCCAACAGTGTGAGCCCCTCTCTCCACGCTCTGATGTTCTTTTTAAAGAAAAAAAAAATATATATATATTTGTATTGATTTCAGAGAGGAAGGGGAAAGGAGATAGAAACATCAATGATGAGAGAGAATCATTGATCGGCTGCGTCCTGCACGCCCCCCACTGGGGATCGAGGCCGCAACCCAGGCACGTGCCCTTGACCGGAATCGAACCTGAGACCCTTCAGTCCGCAGACTGATGCTCTATCTACAGAGCCAAACCGGTTAGGGCCCGGTTGTTGATTTTTTAATCTCCGATGGGATCGATAAACATATCTTGTTGTGTGCCCAGCCTTTGCCATCGGCAGCATACCTTGGTGCTCACTCCGTGTCACTAATACAGATATACCTTGTTCTTTTTTTTTTTTTTTTTAAGGGGAGAATGATGATTTTTATTTTTTTAAATATATTTTATTGATTTTTTACAGAGAGGAAGAGAGAGGGATAGAGAGTTAGAAACATCAATGAGAGAGAAACATCCATCAGCTGCCTCTTGCACACCCCCTACTGGGGATGTGCCCACAACCAAGGTACATGCCCTTGACCAGAATCAAACCTGGGACCCTTCAGTCTGCAGGCCAACGCTCTACCCACTGAGCCAAACCGGTTAGGGCACCTTGTTCTTTTTAACAGCTGCATAATATTCCACAGCATGAGCGTAGCTTCTAGGTTATAGCTAGTGACTGCTCAGGCTGGCCTCCTGCACTGGGCTCCGCCCTCCCTGTCAGACACAGTCAAGTCTGGGGTGGCTCGGCCCTGTCCCTGCCCCCCCTGCACTGGCCCAGCCACCCCAGCTCTGTGTCTCTGTGACCCGTCCCCAGGTCAGTGACTGGTGGGAAGAGTTCGTGTACCTTCGCTCCCGCAACTCGCTGATGGTGAATAGCAACTATTATATGATGGTGAGAGGGGAGAAGGGGGCTAGGAGCTGAGGAGGGAGTGGGGCTCATAAAATGAGAAAAGGTGGGGTTTAGGGTCAGTGACCCAAATCACTGTCTTGGATTCACCATTCGCCCTCTGTTGGGGGCAGGACCCGTCTGTGTTTGGGGATCAGGGGCAAACCTGACCCCAGGCGTTTTGCTGCCCCCTCCTCGGCCCCCAGGACTTCCTGTATGTCACGCCCACACCCGTGCAGGCTGCTCGCGCCGGGAACGCTGTGCACGCCCTGCTCCTTTACCGCCACCGCCTGAACCGCCAGGAGATCCTGCCGGTAAGAGGGCCGCCCCGGGGGACAGAGGCCGTGGTCCTGTGGCCGTGGGGCCGCGTGGGCCCCGGGGGGCAGCTCCCGAGCCCGAGGTCTCCTGCAGACGTTGCTGATGGGAATGCGGCCCTTGTGCTCCGCCCAGTATGAGAAGATATTCAACACCACGCGGGTGCCTGGGGCCCAGAAAGGTGAGACCCTCTCCCCTCCTGGCTCTGGGAGGCGGGACAGTGTAGCAGCCAAGAGCATGTGCGCTGGAGCCCGCCGCCGGGTTGCATCCCAGCTCCGTCTTCCCAGCCGTGTGGCCTTGAGCAAGTCCCCCTCTCTGGGCCTCAACCTCCCCGTCTCTCAGATGGGATAAGGACACAGAGGGTGGTGAGGGGTAGATGGGTGCCCAGAACAGTGCAAGCCGCTTAGGAAGTAGGTAGTTGCTATTATTTTCTTTTAATATATATTTTTATTGATTTCAGAGAGGTAGGGAGAGGGAGAGAGAGATAGAAACATCAGTGATGAGACAGAATCATCGATGGGCTGCCTCCTGCACGCCCCCTACTGGGAATCGAGCCCGCAACCTGGGCATGTGCCCTTGACTGGAATCGAACCAGGGACCCTTCAGTCTGCAGGCCGTGGCTTTAGCCACTGAGCCACACCAGGGCATAGTTGCTATTCTTTTTTTTTTTTTTTAATATATTTTATTGATTTTTTACAGAGAGTTAGGGAGAGGGATAGAGAGTCAGAAACATCGATGAGAGAGAAACATCGATTAGCTGCCTCCTGCACACCCTCTACTGGGGATGTGCCTGCAACCCAGGTACATGCCCTTGACCGGAATCGAACCTGGGACCCTTGAGTCCGCAGGCCGACGCTCTAGCCACTGAGCCAAACCGGTTAGGGCCATAGTTGCTATTCTTATTCTTCGTGTTTCCAACCCTCCTGCCTGCACACTCTGCCCACCCACCCAGACCACCTGCGCCACCTCCGGGACAGCCGGCACGTGGCCGTGTTCCACCGGGGCCGGTTCTTCCGCGTGGGCACCCACTCCCCGAGCGGCCTGCTGTCCCCGCGCGCCCTGGAGCAGCAGTTTCAGCGAATCCTGGACGACCCCTCGCCCGCCTGTCCCCACGAGGAGCACCTGGCGGCGCTGACCGCGGCGCCCAGGTGAGGGGGGAGGGCAGGGGCGCATGGGCCCCGCCGCCACCCGGGGATTGTGGGCCGGTGGGGGCCGGGCAGCCTCCGGCCTCAGGCACGCCCCCCACCCCCCCAAACAGGGACCTGTGGGCGCAGGCGCGGAGGTCCCTGAAGAGCTGCGCGGGGGAGGCCCTGGAGGCGGTGGAAGGGGCCGCTTTCTTTGTCTCGCTGGACTCGGAGCCCGCGGGGCTCACCAGGGAGGACCCCGCGGCCTCCTTGGACGCCTACGCCCACGCCCTGCTGGCTGGCCGGGGACACGACCGGTGAGTCGGCTCGGGTCCTGGACCCCACCCCGACCTGCGACCGGAACCCCGTGTTTGGACCTAATACTCCGGGCCATACACCCACAGACCCAGACCCCCCAGTCCTGGGGCACCTCCAGACCCAAAGGCCCCCTTGATCTGAGGGCCCCAGACTCAATGCCTTGTGACCTGGGGACCCAGAGAAGCCTAGACCCAGATCCTGGAACCCCAGATCCCAGACCTGGACCCTCAGACCCAGAGATCCCCCGAGCCCAGACCCCAAGCCTGGGATCTCAGACTCAGAACCTCCGGACCCCCAGACCTGAAAGCTGGCGTCCTAAGACCCCCCAAGACCTAGAGACGCTCAGACAACTTCCTAGATGCCCACCAGTCACCCTGGTCTCTGAGGCCCCTGGGAACGCGCCCTGACCTCCCAGCGCCCCCTGAGCCTCGCACCTTACCAGGTACCTTCTCTCAAAATCCCCAGCTCCTCACCCCTTGGACCTGGCTCAGAGCCCATCCAGAGCCACCAGCTGGAGGCCCCGCCCTCTTGAAGGTCCCACACTAGCCCTGATTCCAGAAAAGTCTCCCCACCCAGAAATCCCCACAGGGCCCTCAGGGCACCCCGGCTTCCCTCCTGGGCCCCGCTCCTTGGTGACCTCTCTGACCTCTCTCCCGCAGCTGGTATGACAAGTCCTTCACCCTCATCGTCTTCTCCAACGGGAAGCTGGGCCTCAGCGTGGAGCACTCATGGGCGGACTGCCCCGTCTCAGGGCACATGTGGGAGGTAGGGCAGCCCCCCGCCCCCCCTGGGGACCACCACCCCCATTTCCAGAGACCTTCCTCCCCGGGGACTGAGGGTCAGAGGAGAAGCGGAGGCTGGGAGAGAGAAAGGAGAGACCGGCGAGAGCCACCCAGCAAGGCAGGGGGCCTGGGTGGGCAGTTGGGACTCAGAGAAGGGAGCTGATTTGCCCAGTCACAGAGCCAGGAGTGCAGAGCAGGACTGTGAATCCGGAATGTTCTGAGGCCAGAATGAGGGGGCCTTTGAATCACATCATCATCATCATCATCGCTGAGTGACCCTGGGCAAGTTCCTCCCCTCCATCCGGTGAAAGGCTGGGGTTCCTTTTATCTTTAAGTCCCATCCAGTCCTGAGAACCTCAAGTCTCCATTTTATTTCATTTTAAATCAGAGGGGGCGGTGTCTGCCACCCATCGGGCCTGTCTCTGGTGCTGCATGAGGGCTGGACGGGGCCCAGGGTGGGGAGCAGGGTGTGAGGGGGGGGGGAGGCCCCTCCAGACCTCGGAAGCAGCCCATATCAGCGCAGCCTCTCCTGGGCCCGTTTCTCGTTTGTAAAATGGGAATATTTGGGCAAATGAGACACAATTCAGTTCCACGTCAGACCCTCAGACTGTTCACGTCCACATATCTCTGTGTGTCTGCGTTGAACGAGGAGATGTCGCATAGAGTAAGATAGAGAGAAGTGCCACGCTGGAGGGTAGCAGGTGCTCGATCAGGGTTGATTTAAAATAGTTAGCAGGCCCAGCCGGCGTGGCTAGTGGTTGAGCGTCGACCTATGAACCAGGAGGTCATGGTTCGATTCCGGTCAGGGCACATGCCTGGGCTTCATCCCCAGTGGAGGGAGTACAGGAGGCAGCCAATCAATGATTCTTTCTCATCATTGATATTTCTATCTCCCTTTCCCTTCCTCTCTGAAATTAATAAAAATATATTTTTTTAAAATAAAATATTTAGCAATATTTAACAATAATAAAAGCAGGGTGTGGGCCCTAACTGGTTTGGCTCAGTGGATAGAGTGTTGGCCTGTGGACTCAAGGGTCCCAGGTTCGATTCCAGTCAAGGGCATGTACCTTGGTTGTGGGCACATCCCCAGTGGGGGGCGTGCAGGAGGCAGCTGATCGATGTTTCTCTCTCATCGATGTTTCTAACTCTCTATCCCTCTCCTTTCCTCTCTGTAAAAAATCAATAAAATAAAAAGAAAAAAAATATTTAGCAATATTTAACAATAATAAAAGCAGGTGTGGGCCCTGCCCAGTCAGAATGGATGCTGAGGGGCGGTCCTCGGGAGGGCTGGGCAGCCATTG